GATTAAATTTTTGTAAAAAAATTAATGTATTCAAACAAGATAAATTAAAATTTATATTTTTAATTGAGAAAAAAGTCAAAATCGATGCATTTATAATGCAATTACCTTATTAGTTGTGGCATATTTTATCGCTGTCACTGCTAAATTCGAATTGCTAAATAGGACGAGACATGGTCACATAGATATTATTCTCTGTACTTATTTACAAGTACAACCTTTGTTTAACTTCTAGAGATGACAATGATCCCACATGGAATCCATAAAAAAAACATTATGGAAACTTTTCCCCAACCCCTTTTAAGCTTTTGGCTCGCAGCTTTACCAAGAGAATAAAGCACCAAAACCATCCGACTCTATTTTCGTCATTTTCAATTCTGGCATATTTTCAAGTCAGCCCATGCATATATTGCTACACTAATGTCTCTGTCAAATTTGAAATACAAAGAAAGCCAATTGCCAACCACATTGAGCCTCAGCATGCTAAATTAAGCAAGGAGGCCAGCCCAGCCCAGCCCAGCCCATCCGGTTAATCAAGAGCACTCTGGACAAATAATTTGATCCATCCTCCAGTTTTTTAAATGTGTATATATATATTTTTTGCCCTTTTGCCCAGGAACGTAACACAATTTTTTGGCCTTTTTGTGCAGCAACATAACGCAATTGTTGCTTGAAAAATTGAAACTCACGAAACCATGTGAATAAACTCAAAAGCATAAAACAGTCTCCCCAGATCAAAATTGGCAGTCGTTCGCACCCCCACAAAACTACAAAATAACACAACAAATACGGTGCATACGATATCTTCAGCATGAGAACCAATACTCTTTAATCTATAAGTAGGAATGACAATGAGACAAATATAAAACAGATACTCGTTTTACCCGATTCAATAACTATCTATTAAGAATATTTAATGGATATTGAAGAGAATAAGAATAAAAAAATATGTATTCATTAATATGATTTTAAAATATAAGTACTCACTTTTTACTTATTAACATCTACTAATTCATTTATACGGTATTCCATAAAATTGAAAATTAAGTACTAAACCTATCAAGTACTCGAATTTTACGTGTTGAATAATTATGTATTGAATATGTTATTAACAAGCTATTTGATATTTATTGAAAATTAAGTGTTGAATATGATAAGTTTGTTTGATAAATATTGTTGTTCAACGTATTAAGACTATATACATGAATTTTAACTTTGCAATTGTAATATAATATTTTTTGACACAAATAATATATATATTAAACACGTCTAACATAACATTTTTTTTTATAAACTCAAAACATAATCTTCCATGAGGTAGCATGCAAAAGATAGAATCAGCTCTAAAAGCAAGTTACACTACTGCAAGTTTATGCTGGACATAATTTGACAGTGTTGTATCCAGCGTAGCTCATCAACTGGTAAAGAAAGATGAGTTTAGAACATTGTATCCACCTTCTCTGACCCAATGCAACAATAAAAAGAATCAGAAGTTGATTGCAGAAATACAACAACAATGTTATACTAGGATATTGCTTGAGAGGATCGCTGAGGGGACCGAACAGGGACGATCAGTTATTGCCATAAATCAAACTAGAATAGGGAAACCAAACGCTACATTATGTAGAATTGCATGTACACTGAATCATGGACCATCCATATATTGTTGACCAAACTACAAAAACTTGACTACTTATCCAACTACAAAAACTTGGCCTAATTGTTGACCATCAAACGAATCTAATTTTAAAATCGAGTGCCTTGTCCAATTAAAAATTGAATCTGAAAAAATTAAGTAAGAAACTTGATATGAATGGCAGTAAAAACATTAGATCAAGTTAGAAATCCGATATGAAATCAAGTTAATTAAAACTTGGTATTAAGCCTCTATAATACCAAACCAGGTTAAAATCAAGCTATTTAGTTTGGTCCTAAAAGCCTTGTTGATTGCAAATGGTATTTATAGCGTTAGATGAAGGTAAAAATTGAGATTACTATATGGCATTTTGGTTGGGTTGGAGATTGGCTTGGAAGTTGGATTACCAGAGCATCCTCTTAGAAATTGACTCGTTGTTAGCGGTCCATTTAATCCAAAATCTCGAGGTTTGTCGTGGGAATTACAGTCAGCTAAACTCCTTTATCGGTAAATTGCTCTAGAAGCCTTGGCATGCTCATATCGTCCACTCCTATAGAAAAGCCAATTCGCATGATTGATTGACTTGCCTCTCATGTTTACTTACTTTTACTTGGAATTTCATATATTGAACATACCCCCACCAAGATGCATCAACCTTTTGTTAGAGAATATCTACGATGTGCTTTTTCCCGAATTATATAACAGCTTATCTTTCATATTAGAGCTTTACTTCTCATTTGAATAAAAAAAAAAAAAATCTAATTTGAAATCAAGTTAAATAAAACTTGGCATCATTAGTGTCAATAATACCAAATCAAGTTATCAAGCATTTTGGTTAAAAACATCATCTTAACGAGCGTTCATAAAAGCTTAGACCTAAAAACCTTATCAATATTAGGACATCAGTCCAGGTATATATATATTAGACAACATGTCTTTTAAATAAAAAAAAAACCTTATCAATACCCAAGGCATTGATAAGGCAATAGTTCGAGTAGTATAAAAAATTGGCCTTGGTATTAAAATTAAAAAAAAAATTGTTAGGCAACATGTTTTTCAAGCAAGAAGCAAGCTTGATAGACAAAAATTGTTGATGCTAAGGCAACAGTTCGAGTAGTATAAAAAAAAACATATATAGGTGTAAGGCAATAAACTTGAGTTTCCAAAAATAAGTCTCTCAACTAATATAGAGGTTTTTGAAGCTAATCCTAAGATCAAGTCATTAGAATTCTTAGGTTATAGGAGTAGAGGGCAAGTGATGAGCTAAAATTTACTACCAAACTATGACCACTTAGGTAGATAAGTTCAAGCTTGTAAGAATGAACCACGTGTTGTAGATGGCTTCATAGTCATACAAATTATAAAGTATATATTAATATTATAAATAATCATAAATGCTCACTATTCAAACACATCCAAGTAATGTCCATTGTCAACGAACATATAAGTAGTATCCGCTGACTTATTAACTTGTAAGTTAACCAATGTGTTTGTAACGGCTCATTAGGGTAGCCTCTTATGCGTATGTAAGAAGTCACCGATTTAAGTTTTACTTATATTAGGAGTTTTGGATGTGTAAATTAAAATAAAATATTATATTTGTTTTTTCTAATGTATGGAGGTAGTATAAACATTAATCGCTTTGGTACTATATAAATGTGATGGATTATCACATTTAAGGTAATAAATTCATTCTCTATATCTAATTATTGACTTAAGTATCCGAGTGTCTCTTCTTAGATAGAAGACACTTATGTCTCGTTTTGCGATTAATCTTATTTTCATATCAAATTTACAATCAAATCTAGTAAGTCCAATAAGATTTATTACATCAACTACTTTTGTCCAAATTTCTCCGCTCATCAATCTATTTTTTGATAGAATAATTAGAATTCACTAGAAATATCAAACCTCTTTCAAAATCTAAACCAATTGATGCTTATCCAATAAACTTTAGCCTTTAAAAATAAAATTTACTTCAAATAAAAGCTTAAATTTAGATAAACTTAAAATTCAGGCCAACAAAATAAAAATCAAATCAATCTTGATATGATATATCAATTAGCTTAGGTGACTTCATTTAAATTGGAAGATAGAATTATGGATATTCCTCGAGTACTAGTATAAACCAAAAAAACAAAATGGCTTAATAGTAGAGGGCAAGTGATGAGCTAAAATTTACTACCAAACTATGACCACTTAGGTAGATAAGTTCAAGCTTGTAAGAATGAACCACGTGTTGTAGATGGCTTAATAGTCATACAAATTATAAAGTATATATTAATATTATAAATAATCATAAATGCTCACTATTCAAACACATCCAAGTAATGTCCATTGTCAATGAACATATAAGTAGTATCCGCTGACTTATTAACTTGTAAGTTAACGAATGTGTTTGTAACGGCTCATTAGGGTAGCCTCTTATGCGTACGTATGAAGTTACCGATTTAAGTTTTACTTATATTAGGAGTTTTGGATGTATAAATTAAAAAAAAATAATTATAAATTACCTTTTCTAATTTATGGAGGTAGTATAAACACTAATCGCTTTGGTACTATATAAATGTGATGGATTATATATTTAAGGTAACAAATTCATTTTCTATATTTAATTATTGGCTTAAACATCCGAGTGTCTCTTCTTAGGTAGAAGACATTTATGTCCGTTTTGCGGAGTTAATCTTATTTTTATATCAAATTTACAATCAAATCTGGCAAGTCCAATAAGATTTATTACATCAACTATTTTTTCCCACATTTCTCCTTTCATCAATCTATTTTTTGATATAATAATTAGAATTCATTAGAAATATCAAACCTCTTCCAAAATCTAAACCAATTGATGCTTATCCAATAAACGTTAGCCTTTGAAAATAAAATTTACTTCAAATAAAAGCTTAAATTTAGATAAACTTAAAATTCGGGTCAACAAAATAAAAATCAAATCAATCTTGATATGATATATCAATTAGCTTAGGAGACTTCATTTAAATTGGAAGATAGAATTGTGGATATTCCTCGAGCACTAGTATAAACCAAAAAAACAAAATGGAACTATCGAAGAGCCCACAACCAACAGATGACAGGTGGCACAATCTTATTAGCATGTTATCCTACAATCAAATAAGTTTTTCTTGGAAAACCCATGGCTACGGATCCTCTTTACATGCACAACTCGACAATTCATCTCTGAAACCACATAACCCAATTTGGACTTTCCCACCAACAACCAACAATTAACACTCAATAGATCCCAAATTCAACACGTACCCTGCTTGTGCTATAAGATTCCTAGAAATGGTCCTTTCTACTGATCCAATGCTTGCTTCCAAACTCTGGTTCTCTGCCATTGCTTTTCACAAAAATGATGTCAGCTACTGCTATTGTCGATAAACCCACTTTCAAAACCTTGCTTTTTAGTCCTTCTAAGCTTAATCAACCAAAACCCATTTCGTTCCTTGAGCTTCCTGCTTCAAAATCTGATTTTTTTGGTTCAAAGAATAAAGCATTGTCAAAGAACATGACTGAATTGGTCAGAATATCTGCTTTTAGGGATAGTAATAATGGTAGTAATAGTGAAGAAACTACAGGGTTGTTTCAGCAAGAAGCTGTTATTGATGGGCTTAATGAGTTTGAAAATGAGCTCTTGGCTGATGGACTTGAAGCCACTCTCAATCGCCTGGTTTGTGCTTTTCTCTGACTATTAGTTGCCTTTTTTGAGTGCTTTTAATCTTTGTAATCTAAGTTGTTTTTTTTTGTGACTTTATTAGTCTTTTGATGATAACTAGTGTGGTTTAATCTATTGACTAATTGGAGCCGAAAATCTTTAAATTTGGTTACTCTTTGCTGCGTCTCATATTAGTCTTTCGTGTATTTCTTTGTTTATCGGCCAAAACTTCTGAAAGTGAACACATATTGCACTTCCTTTATTATTTTTCCTTGGATGAAAGTGAGAGTCGTGCTCAAAGAAGCTGAAATTGAGAAGTGAATTGAGGTTGCAATTGAAAGATGAAACTAATTCAAGGAAGATTGGTTCCTACTCCCTAGGGATCACTTGCATTCAGAATGTAATTTTTTTTTTTTTGGCAATCATGACACTAAGTTATTACAAAAATCTTCTTGAGTAGGATAGTTTTATGTCGCTTCATATCTTTGATATATTTATATGAGGTTCAATTCAAGGAAATGGCTAATTTTATAATTTCAAGCAACTAGCACCGTATTTGAGTACCACTGACGTTTCAATTTGTTTTGGTGTTGTCATATTCTCCTATATTCCCCTGTCAGTATTTCAATTTTGGCGTTCATATGAAACAAATTCTCATGATGTTAGTCGTACAATTGTTGTTGGTACAGAGCAAATGGCTTGTAACTGCTGTTTTCGGTGCTGTCATTCTTTGGAGGCACGATGCAGAAGCCATGTGGGCTGCTCTGGGGTCAGTTGTAAATTCAATCCTCTCTGTAATCCTTAAACGAATATTCAACCAAGAGAGACCCGGTTCCACATTGAGGTCTGACCCTGGGATGCCATCTTCACATGGACAATCCATCTTCTTCACTGTGGTGTTCGTTATTCTGTCAGGTAATTCTACTGTCCCTCTTGTTTCTTGAACTGTTTGATACTTATTAATCAACTGGATATTTTAGGTCAACAATTGCAAAATTTAAGTGAAGAAGCTTCGTGATAACTCCACCAATTGATGAGGGCATGCTGTGTCATATCTTGATTTTTATCTCTGATCTACTCAATGCAAAGGATGATCTGGGTTAGTTCGTGGCGTCAGTTTAAGATAACACTAGGAAGCCATGGCGAATGTGCTTGTGTAAATAATTGGATTGATTGGTTAACCAAATTTTTTCTCTTAGGACATAGAATAGATCTGTGTTGTTCCGATAAGAGAACTAAAATGAAATGATATCTTATCTCCCTGCTACAAAATGGAGCGAGATGCTAGACATGCGAATCCGCTGTAGGATTTTCAGTTCTGTATGTTCTCACACTACCATGTGGCTGGTTGCTACTACAGATGTTCTTTGCATGTGTGTGTCTGTTTTGATCTATGTGAGCTCCTTGGTAAATTGTCAATGTACTGACTTCATTGCTGACGTCCATTGCTTGTTCTGTGTGCTGTTGCAGTTGTGGAATGGCTAGGATTGAATCTATTTTCATTGACCCTCAGTGCAATTATCCTGGCATTTGGCACATATCTTGTAAGTATCATGTCACCATTCATACTATAGTCAAATGCAGCACTCAAGAAACCCTGGTCTCACTCTCAAGTTTATAAAAAACAATCAACAATGTAGAAACCTTGGGGTTTGCAAATTAAGGAAATCACTGCAGATTATGTGAAGCCTCTGAATTAGTACAAGGCACTTAGTATGCTTTCGTAAGCAAGTACTGCTACAGGGAAGGAATGTCGAGAGTCGTGACACCCATTGGTTGAGCAAGTGAAATGCCTTGGTCAAAGAACAGATGTGAACATATCAAATAAACTGAAATGGACAGGATCCTAATGATGTTTATCTCTCATCATCTGTTTTGTAGACATGGTTACGGGTCTCGCAAGGACTCCATACGATCAGCCAAGTTGCGGTCGGTTCTGCTGTTGGATCAATTTTCTCCATTTTGTGGTTCTGGTCATGGGATGGATTTGTGCTGAAAGCCTTTGTTTCCTTTCTATGGGTTCGTATAGTTGTTATTGTGGGAGCTGCCGGATTCTGCCTAGGCTTTCTTGTATATGTTATCCGTTATTGGTTCAGGGATGAATGACGAATTTTGTAAACAGTTGAATACGATTATTTACAAGAAATTCTTTCAGTGCGTATTAGAATATCAAAACCTGAATTAGGGATTTTTGCAAAATATTAGTCTTTTAGTGCTGTTATAGACTTGTCGTGAAGGAATCTCCATGCACCAACTCTGAAAGCAGAGGTTGCTTCAATTTTTTTTTCTTCTCATCTACTTTCAGTATATTAGCCGAGTTAAACTATACACTATAGAAAACGTCCATTCACCATGATTTTGCAGTTTCTAACTTTTTGCTGTTTTGCAGAAAGATCCCTGTTGGATATAAGCACCATGTTGTTTCAACTTTTTTTTTATATATATATATATATATATAGAGAGAGAGAGAGAGAGAGAGAGAGAGAGAGAGAGAGAGAGAGGTTGAGATTGTGATTGCAAGTCACCTTACTCGCAATCACATTCTCAACTATTTTTTCAACCAAAAGGAAAATAATGATCAGGGTAACAGAATAGCTGTTAATAAATTTATTTTAATTCATATATTTTAACAGTTTTATAAAAGTTGCAAAGTGCAAAGCCTAATTTTTGTTTTTTTAGTATAATGTCGTTATATAATTCAACAACAAATAATGACATTACATGATAACGACATCGTTATTCCTTATTCTTCACGTGAAGCGATAATAAAATTGCTATAATGTCGAATAGCGATAATAGAATATCTTTTAATTTTTTTGGTATAATGCCGTTATATAATAACAAATAACGACATTATATAATAATAATACTGTTATTCCTTATTATTCACATGAAACGATAATAAAATTGCTATAAGGTAGAATATCTTGAAATCATTGTATAACGGTATTTACTTTTTGTAATGTCTGTTATTTGAATATGTAGAATGAAATTCCAATTTTGACCAAGAAAGGATGGATAGCAACTCAAAAGAGACGATATTTTTAATGAAAAGGAATTCAGATATGAAAGGAAGAAAACTGATCCATGTAGCCGACCTTCTTCGTTCAGCAGGGTTCTGCTTCGGCATTTTTTTATCAAACCACAGGGGAGATGACTTTTTTGGTAGACATAGGTGAACAGGAAGGAATGCATTGTGCACCTAATCAAGAACAGGTGCTTCAAACCAAAATCAGTGACCAGCCAACTATTAAAAAAATGAAGTGACTCCATTTCTGTGATAATTGCTTTCCACGTGGTTAAATCTGACTTAGTGCAAAGAAAGAAAATTATATAGCCTGCCATTTCATTAATCTCTTTGCGACTTTGAAGTTAAATGACCCATAAAATACAGAAACTGGACAATGGGCGTGGAAGAATAGTTTCCCTGATATTGCTCTGATGAAATTTCATGCAAACAGATCTTACACTTCTGTAAATCTTAAAATAATCAGGAAAACCTACCAAAATGTTATTCAATAACATCAATCTTTTTGTTTAACTTCAAAACCTAGGAGTCATGCAAGGACATTTCATTTGAAAACTTGGGATATCTTGATATTAATGTTGTTAGATACAAAGGGTTAAGGAAAAAACCATTGATAATAAACTAGTCTCACAGTCACGACAAGGTTGACATTTTGAAGCTTCACTTTCTTGTTGCAACTCTACCATCTTCCATTTTAGGTAACTTAAGAGTCGCATAAAGAGGCTATGACCACAACAAATGAGAGCATAACCTTCGGAAACAGTTGGATTGAACTGGAATGGTCTTGTCCCGGAATTTTTTCCAAAGTGGATGTAAACTCTTCGTACAAATATCATTGGCAGGAGATGGAATATTTTCTGGAATTGAAAGATTTCTCCCTTAAAGCGCAAGACATAAAGGATAGAAGCATGCCCTCATATTCCTCCCAAATATTGGTGGATAAGCCTATGACTTTTCTTCAGGTTTGGCAGATTCATTTGTGAACTTTAAGCAGCTGCAGACCGATAGCAATGGTATTGAAAATCAGGTCTTTTTGCTATGTGCTGAAACCAGGATCTTTTCCAGGAGTTTCTGCTTTGGGTGATTATAGTTTTCAGGAGATGTATTGTGCATCTTTGATGTGGAAGCTGAACTAGCTCAAGCATGAAAGTTGGACTGATCAAAAGAGCCAGATAACCTGTTCAAGCAACAAAAACATGTAAACATTAGTAGCAAGAAAATTATGCCAGGTTCTGTCACAGTGGTTTGATAGCTTAGTCATGTCAGTTTCTGTGGATTTCTACATAGTTGATCAACCTTGTGGCACCTGAGTAATAACTACCCGGTCCAATGAGCATTAGCTCAAAAAGGACTAAATTTAGGAGGGCCAAGAACTCTTTAACAATTATAATGATAGCCAGTTCCCTCATTTAAAGCATTTAAAATGGACAGTAGTTACCATTTGCCAGGATGAAAGTGAGCTGCTACCCCATCCGTACTGGGGATCTGGTCAATTCCAATGAAGTTCCTATATCAAAATGCGTGTGTAAAAGAAGGTTATCACCATAATGAATGAAACCTTAGACTTAAAATCCCTAGGATTGAACTTGAATGCTCCTGTCCAGGAATTTTTACTAATGCGCACTTTGACCTCTTTGCAAAAAAGAAATGCCATCAACTCCAGAGTTGAAAGATTTCTTGTATAAGAATCCAAGAAACCATACCCTCAAATTCCTCTGTATAAGTTGATCGACTTATGGCTTCTGTTCAGATTTGCAGCAGAATTATTTGTAATTTTAAGCTGCCATAAAATATAGCAATTCCGGGACAAGATGCATCTGCATTCTGCACTTCTGCTCCACTTCAGTCTTCAATTGATTTACTTCTTGTTTACACAAAATCAGATTCTAGTTATTGTTTGTGATTTGTATCAACACTCTGCAACATCCTTACCATTGTTTAGGATCTGCAGCTTTTAAAGAAGTGATTGAAATGATAAAGAGACCACTAGAATCTGCATTGATGTAATGAAGCATGGTTCACCTTCGAGATTCCTAAACTTCAGTTAGAAGAAAATCCATTTCCTGGATATGCATTTCTGTTCCGAATGCTAGTAAATCCAACACATCATATATATCTTCACCCTCTGGATGAGACCGATCACCAGACAGAAATCCAGAAACTCGATCCTTAACCTTAATCCAAGACCATCCAGGCTCCTTAATTAACCCCTTTGATTTCATCATCTTCCTCACTTCTGCTGCTTCTTTCCACTTTCCTTTGGCAGCATAGATGTTAGCCAGGGTGATGTGAGTCACTGCACAATTCGGATTTAATTGAAGAATTTTTTCTGCTGCACGTTTTCCACAATCCACATCACCATGGCCCCTGCATGCTCTAAGAAGAGTGGACCAAACAACATCATCAGATTGAAATGGCATGCTTTGGATCATGCTCTCTGCATCATTTAATCGTCCAGCTCGGCATAGGAGATCAATCATGCATCCATAGTGCTCTTTTGAAGGACAAATCTGGTATACCTTACTCAAAGAATTGAAGTAGTGGAAACCAAGATCAATCAGTCCAGCATGACTGCAAGCAGCAAGAACCCCAATAAAGGTCACAGAATCCGGCCTCAATCCAACCTTGGGAAGCTTCCCAAACAAATCAATGGCTTCCTGGCTGTACCCGTGTTCAGCATATCCATTAATCATGGCAGTCCATGATACAATATTATCATATTCTGCCTCATCAAAGATTTTTGAAGCTTCCTTTGTGCTCCCACATTTTGAATACATATTGATTAGAGCACTTTGTACCATGGCTTTCTGTTCTAATCCAACACACAAGACGTGAGCATGGAGTTGCTTCCCTTGCTCAAGAATTGCCATATTTGCACAAACACTTAGCACACTTGCAAAAGCAAACTCATTTGGTCTTGGGCCTTCCCTTCTCATCCACAATAGATACTCAAATGCTTCTTCTCCAAAGCCCCCTTGAGCATACCCTGAAATCATAGTACTCCACGAAATAATATCTCTTCTAGACAACCCTTGAAACACCATTGAAGCCAAATCTTGCTGCCCGCATTTCGAATACATGGCCATAATGGAATTGGCCACTGACAAGTAGTCCACTAGACCTAGACGTAAAACATGGGCATGCAATTGTTCACCCCATTCAATTCTTCCAAGAGTAGCACAACTAGAAATAACAGCTGCAAAAGTGAAATCATTAGGATTTACATCTGTTTCTCGCATTCTTTTAAATGCTTTAACAGCATTTTCCTCCTGACCTATCTGCACATTTGACGTTATAATCATTGTCCATGAAACCACATCCCTTATGGTCATCATTTCAAACAACCGCAAACCATAATCCAATTTCCCGCACTTATTATACATTGTAGCAAGACTGTTAGCCACAAAAGACACTGAAACAAAACCTTTCTTCAATGTTTGACAATGAATCTCTCTCCCATAATTCAAAGCACAAGAATCAGCACATGCCTTTAACGCACTAGCAAATGTATATGTATCACACCCTACCTTTGATATCCACATATCAGAGAAATAAACCAATGCCTCCTTATTATAACCGGCACGAGCAAGCCCTGTTATAATAGCAGTCCAAGATACTACATTCCTCAAAGGCATCCCTTTAAACACAATACAACCTTCTTCAACTTTCCCAATTTTCATGTACATATTCACTAGTGCACTCCCTACAAAAACAGATTTAACAAAATCACTTTTAACTGAATACCCATGTAATGACTCACCAAAGCTTACATTCATATTAAGCCCACAAGCTTTGAGTGCAAGACTAAGGATAAAGGGATCCATGTGGAGACCCGGCTCAACCCACATTTTTGAAAACAAATATAATGCTTCGGTAGTGTTCATATCATTGACATAACCGGAAATTACAGTGGTCCATGAAATCTCGTCTCTATGAAGCATTTTATCAAACATTTGACGTGCGTTGTCTAGACGACCTGTTTTGACCAGTTGCTTCAATTCTGAGTTGATTTCCAGCATGTTTATATGATTTGGGATCTGGGTTTTTGAGGGTGAGGCTTCTGGCTTTTGAGAAGAGACCATGAGGTCTCTGTAATCAGTGCAAGCCATGGCTGAGACTGTACATAGTCTTCTAACATGAGGCCTGACTGAGAGAAACATGTCTCTGTTCAGGGATGGGAAGTAGCCGTGTCAGGAACTAAACTAGCCCGCGGTTTATTACTTCCAGCCTTTTAGGTTTAGCTAAACCTAGACTCCCAGGCCCACTAAACTAGCCCGCGGTTTATTACTTCCAGCCTTTTAGGTTTAGCTAAACCTAGACTCCCAGGCCCACTAAACTAGCCCGCGGTTTATTACTTCCAGCCTTTCAGGTTTAGCTAAACCTAGACTCCCAGGCCCACTAAACTAGCCAGTGGTTTATTACTTTCAGCCTTTCAAGTTTAGCTAAACCTGGACTTCCAGGCCCACTAAACTAGCCCGCTGTTTATTACTTTCAGCCTTTCAGGTTTAGCTAAACCTAGACTCCCAGGCCTAAATGAACTTATGTTCAGACTTGGCAGCCCCAATGGTTTCAGTCGCGTTTTAATTTCTTTAATAATTTAATTTTTTATTAGTTTTTTGATACATTGATTTTAAATTTTTTTTTTTTTTATGTCTTATTTTTCTTCTTCACCCACTTTCTCTCTCCCCACAGCCAAAAAAAAAAAAAAAAGAGAGCAATTTTAAAATAAAAATAATTAATCTAATAAAAAAATGATTAAAAAAACTAAGATATTGACAAAATTAAAACATTAAAAACTAAATAATTAATTTTTAAAAGAAAAGAAACTAATTAACTCATTCCTCCATACAAGAGGGACTAATTTATACTTTACTCAAAAATCATCTTGTGGGCTGCTGTTTAATTGAAGGCTGAAAGGCCTTGCCTCCCTCATTTTATTTTTGTTTCTTTCCCTGGAGAGTAAAATTAAAAATTCTATGCCATTGATGATAATGTTGCTGGATTCAAATCAGGTGTTGAGAACATCTTAAAGAGGTTCAGACGATTGAGTGCCCTTAAGCAGGCCTCAAAGTTTAGAGCATTTAAAAATTGAAAGAAACAAAATTTAGAGCATTTGAAGATTGAAAGAAACAAAATTTTAGTGTAATAGTCATTCACACAAAACTGTATGGCCAAGGCCTAAGAGAGATTTTTTTAGAAAGATTTTTTCTTCTTGTGTTCATGAGTATCATGCCCGTCCTTTCCTTCTCTCTTCATCCCACCTTTGTGACCTCTCCTCCTTGGTCCCTGAAACCAAAATAATGCATTATAATCTAGCATTTTCTACCATTATTTAAGGTGTCTTTGTAATTAACTACAGTTTACCTCGGCAGAGAAAGACTTGAGGGGGTCTCGATTTTTTCCAAAGTTTCTCTTCGGACCTTGGCGGCGAGCAGAGTTATTATTTCCCATTGCAGCTCTAGCAATCTTGACCATCTTGCTTGCTTCCTTGGTTGTTGCATCCAATAGGTAGTCAGGCACATTAGATAGATGTGGAGCTGGGGGCTTCTTGCTCAGAACTTTGTCATGTTTCAGAAGATCTGTTTCAACACAAATTCAAAGCTAAAAAAATTTAGACTAGTAATGAAGCCCCCTAGGGAACATCCAATAATAGACAAGTGAAAACAGGAACATCAAAATAGATAAGATCAATAAGTAAATTGCATTACCTAAGTCCCTACGATTGACTTCAAAATGAGCCTTCAACCTACACAAGCAAACATAAAATGATTTAAAAAAAAAAAAAAATAGAAAAGGACAATGCTCACATTCAAGTTCAACCAATTTTTTGTAAGGACTAAAAACCTAAGAAGGACGAAGGTCAGATCTTGTGGGAGAGAAGACTGAGTCGATTATATCAACAATCTATCATTGCAAGAGATAAGCTAAAATGACTCTAAAAAATTAGATAGAGGAAACCATATACTCACTTTTCAGAGTTAAGTATTTCATTTCTCAAATCCTGAGCTCGTGCTTCCCTGACAGCAACTTTTGTTACACTCTTTGCTGTGTCCTGCAAAATTAATCTCTACCCATTAATGATTCAGGATATTAATGGCCTTTGCTTCTTCTGGAAGCAATCTGTCCTAATTTGTGCTCACACATCCAAATTTAAGATAAGGACAACAACTGAGAGTTGAACAGAAACACCAGTTTAACATGGAGACCAAATCACAGGAACAACTATGATCACCAAGAGTTCACCTAGATTTCACATGTACCATTCACTGAAGAAGCTAGGGCGATCACAGAAAAACTAAAAAATAACATGTGCCCTTCTATTGGTAGTTGGCACGCTTCGTAAGGAGGAAAAAAAAAGACAAATTAGCTATCCTGAAAGATAGAGAGAAAAATCCAAGAGAACTAAAACACACATGCACTTTTTTTTTTTTTGGGCTATAAGGAGAGGCTGCAACCCGAGACCTCTTATGGGGAGGGGAAATAAATGCCAGTCATTGGCCCCACATGGACTTCTGCATGCACCTACCAACAGCATTGACTAAAAAGAACACTCCAATATACTATCCTCTTCTTTGTGGACATCAACAATGAAAACTCGATCTTGTATCTTTTCTAATCCAAAAAATAAGTAATGTGATTAAGTGAGGGAATCAAAACAATCACCTCGGCTCTGTACCGTATAGACTCCACTGCATTCTTTGTGAGCAACGGATATGGAGAAATAATGTTTGATTCATTGCTTTCGTCATCCCCTAAAAAGGATTTTATTTCTTCAAGAATTTCCATCTCATCTGGAGAAACCTACCAACAGATAATGACTCAGAATGGCAAAGTATTGAAAAAGCCACATACATTCATAATTCCATACCAACAGAAAGAGGAGAGAATAAGAAATAAAGACAAAATAGACAGTGATTGCTATATCTGATGCATGGACAGATCCAAAGTCATTCTACATGGATATCATCTCTATGCAATAAATCTTAATTGTGTAAGTCACTCACCAGAGAGACAGAAACACCAGTACTGTGTGCCCTTCCAGTACGTCCAATTCGATGTACATATCCAGTGGCACTTAGAGGCATATCATAATTTATAACCTAAAATGAGAGAAGGGGAATGGGGACAACAAAAGGCCCACACAGATTAATAAAGCACACTCAAAAATATGAAGGGAAAAGGAATGTTAGTTGAACACTACATTTAGCAATAATAATTAAACTATATACAATGAAAATAATGTAGTTCGCTGCTAAACATAACTAAAACAGCAAAAAGCTAGCATAAGAAACATAGAACACAAAGATGATCTCTATCATGATATATAGTAATAGTCAAAAGTTGACTTAAACTAATTTGCGTTTCAAAGTTTGCAGCATAACTTGAACCATATACTCCTGTCAAGTCACAATGGGCTACATATTAGAAAAGTAGTTCGTAGAAATTGGCCCATGGTAAGTAACAAGAATTCTGAATTTGGCATTTTAGGCCGTCCAGTATATGATTGGGAGTCCAATCCAATAAACACAAGGGCGTGACCACATTAGTCTAATGCAAATTATAGGCCTCAGGTTCTCTTCCTCCCATCCTTTCAAGTGATTTGATCAAAAGAAAACAGAAACTCCATCTGAAAATATGTTATTACCTAAAAACATGTGCTGTAAAAAAATTAAGATTAACACAAAAATGAAGAAGAGGGAATAGGAACCATCATGATTTTTAATTGAAACTAAAAATCATTTTATACATAAGGTGAAGCCAACCAAAATATGGTTAATATGTTTGCCAACTTGAAATGAATATTCATTCAAATCCTGAGTGACATGAAGATATTTGCAAAGATGTAAGCATGCAAACATTGAAGCCAAAGTCATCAGATTTCCAAAGCAAGACTCAAAAATCTACAAAATTCAAACACAAGAATCTACAAATGAACCTCTGAGTCTAGAGTCTAGACAGATCATTTTCCAAAGGATCAAACAGCAAAAGCACAACAGTGCAATTGAATATAATAGCACAGCATGCAGCAAAGAAACCAACCAAAAAATCAAATCATTAGCTTACCGTGTATACATTTTTGAAGTCAATTCCTCTCACCACTCCAAATTCAGAATCCAACTTTGGCTTGGCATGCTTTTTCGATTTTCTTGACTCAGCAAGACTTCCTCCATTGGCTTGCTCCTTCTCTTTTGTTTCTCTGTCATCAGTTGCAATCAAATAATCGAACAGCCCAGCATTGAATTCCTGAAAATGGGCAGCACAAAAGACAAAATAAACTACTTTTAAGAACATTGACCAAAAATTTGGTCATTATATCCATACTTGGAACCTTCAAACCTCAAACCATCATTCAACCTAATGGTAAATTGCCATCTAACCATTGAGAAATACCCAAAAAGGACCACCATCTTTAGCTTATTTGTGTTTTGAATTTTCAGAAATTGTGAACTTAGCATACCTCAAGTATATGGAGACGAGAATTCTGCGGCAACTCAGCATTTAAAACAGCAGACTTTATTCCAAACTGTGGAAAAACAATCAAGGACATCAATAACAGGATTGAGGATATGAAACCAAGAGCATTACTAGTAGTAACACAACTGCATTAGAACAGCATTAGAAGATTAATAGTTTCCCTTCAATAAGAACACTAGTCAAAATAAAAACAAGTAATAAACAAATGCCCCCCATCACACCCCCACCCCCTGGGCAAGGGAAAAAAAAAAACACTCTGCCTCAGTGGGCAACACACAATAAGAGATGCAAATGAGAATACACTCAATGATTAATGAGATAGCATTTCATCCTATTAAATTAGCCAAAATCAACACAAATACAAATCTCAATTAATTTGATGTAGAGTTTCCAATCACCAATGCACTTCTAATGTTGAGACACAGATCCAATATTGATAAAGATGAAGATTGTAGATTGATTATATAGTATTGTGAAAAATGGTAAACTACATCCCAGGTTAAAGCTTTTCAACTACACAATGTCCAACATTTCACATCATAGGTGCAGCGCCTCACCCAGACAATACAATATCCAAATCCAATATCTCAACAAATAGACAAATTCCTAAATATCTGAAGCAACTACTTTCCAAATCAAAATGAATTCAAATAATTCCATGGATGCCCAGTAAAGTAGTCAGAGACTGAGAATACCTTCTCTAAAAACAATTTCAATCTGAAACTCATATCGATTGCATTAGTAAATATTAGAACTTTTTTCTGAACCAGCTCCAGCTTCAAAAGAGCAAGAATATAAACTAGCTTGTCACGATCACCGCATGAAACCTGAAAGAGATGTGAAAGAGTTGTGAAGCTCATAAAAAGTCAATATCCTTGTTCGGCCATCTATTAACAGGCTCAGATAATTGATATAGATAAGAAACACCAAAAGCCCACAAAACAAACATACGTTAATGATAACCCGAAGTTTTACTTTGACATAAATTTGACAGATTCTGATATCTATAAGATGACAAGACAGTGATGTCAATGTGATACCCAATAAGTCACGTGCCAATATGTACTTCACTGTTAACCAGGTTTTGGACCTAAGCTGATTAGTTTGATAGCAAAACTTGATCAATATTAGGAGAGGAAGCAACAGGTTTTCTGTGCCAGTGGCTGAATGCTGAGAACTAAAGGTCGTTTAATTGGTGGAGAAGGCATTTTAATATATGGGGAATTTGGGGTTTATGCTGACTGACAGGATGATTAAGGGCTGATCAAAATGAGAATAGGGGGAAGTCGTTTAAATCCTAAAACGCTTCCTTACCATCTCCCTCAATAAAACCTTGTGCGATGGTACTTCCATACTTGAATGAGGTAGTAGTAATTTGTGCTTTGCTTTCTATTTATTACTAGTGGCAAGCCAGTGATAGTGTATACATTGGTCATTCTCTTCATATTCCAGTCTTCTTTCAGCTAGTGCCCAAGGTTTACAGAGGGATTTCAGTTTAAGGCCAATTGTGTTATCAACAAGCTCAAAACCAAAATATAACCAAAGTTCAATCTGGCACTGCCTAAAAAGGAAAAAAGATTCAATCTGAAAGATGCTTTAGTCTTCCGACAATAAAATAAATAAGGGTGTAAAAAAATTCAAAAACAAATATAGTTAGGCCACATCAGAAAATTCAACTCAAAAGAAGCAATCACTTCTCATATCCTCAAGACAAGGCTATAGAATTCCTTACCCAAAATTGCTGAACATTTTTGGGGATAACTTCATCCTTAACACCTTCAACTTCTGGCAAGGTCAAAACATATGGATTGTGTAGAATGAGCTTCTTCAGTTTGTCAACATCAGCACTGCAGAAGCACCAGATGCCAAAATAGCATGCATGAAATTTCTCAATCCAAGAGAAGCGAGGAGCATAAAGAAATTACTTCAGAACTTTTTAAATTGCATAAGGACTAAATATCCCCAATAAAGATTTCATTCTATTAATATTGAACAATTGGGTAACAAAGATGAAGGGGAGAAAGTTGCGAGACTTGTTACAGTGAAAAACTGAAGTTAACGAAAAGAACATAAGTAAAATGAGGAGGGAGAGAAGTGTCGTCATCAAAACACCTTGAAGTAGCAGACATAAGAAGGCATTGACAACGTCTTGGGACATGAGCAGTAAGAGCTTTTAGATCATCTTCATAGCCAAATGACAACAAGAGATCTGCCTGAAAATAAATATATATTAATGATATCTCACATTGAAAGATAAATTAGTTTTTCTTTTTAAGAAATTGATAACTTAGCATCTGAAGTTCCATCCATAAGAAGGTAGAAGAAACTATAGAAATCTCAGTTGCGGACACAAAGCAAATGTACTCGGTCAATATCAATAGAAATTACACTCTCATTTGCATCACAATCCATTATTTTAACAAATGCAATCTAATTGATTTAAACACAATTGACGAATTCAGACAATCTATTCTCGACAGAAATAAAAACTTCCATCTATCAAGAATGAATTACAATAAGCACAATTACAAAAACAAGTTCTCACCTCATCAAGAACAAGAATTTCAAGCGAGTCATTAATAGATTCTGATTTTAGTGCGCCAGCTGACAAGGACTTAGCTACACAAGATGGTGTAGACACCAAAATATCCGGCTGTCCAGCCAACGCATTCCGCTGCAAGCAAGCCAACAATCGATCAATTATGCTGAATATCAGCTAAAACTCCACTAATCATGCCACGATTTAACCAAAAAAAAAATGAACTTTCAATTTAACCAACCAGATCAGAAGCAAGCATGTTGCTAGTCAACTGAACAGCTTTCGATTGAACTTTACATGAATCTATCAGCGACGAAACCTCCTTAAAAACCTGTTGACATAACTCTCCACTTGGCACTAGAATAAATGCTGAAGGAGCAAGCTTTTTTCGGCTCGAATCAGTCATACCGAACAGCTTCTGAAGCAAAGGAAGCAAGTAGGCTAATGTCTTCCCTGATCCTGTTTTCGCCCGGGCAACCACATCTTTCCCTTGCTAATTATATATGAAAAAAAAATCCATTAAGCCTTCCAATTGGCAGGCAAAAAAAAAAAGTTCGAAAGAGAAAGGAACTGACAAGAATCAGAGGAATGGCGACTCGTTGAATTGGAGTTGGCTCTGTAATGCTAATTTCTTTCTTGTTTAGGGCTCGAATTAGCCTAGGGTCTAAGCCTAGCTCTTCAAAGGTCCGTGCTTCATCTTCTTCTTCTTCTACATCCGGCTGCCCTTTTATTGCATCCGGTTCCTCTATCACTTCTTCTTCTTCTACAGCCGGCTGCCTTTCTACTGCATCCGGTTCCTCTTTCACTTCATCTTCTTCTACATACGGTTCCTCTTTTAATTGTATTTCTTGTTTGTGTTTCGTCTCTTTGGCTTTTCTCTCTTTAGTTTTATTACCTTTCGCCATTTTTAAGTTAACAGAGATTGAGAGGGAAATGTTTAGGGTTTTTGAGGAGGAGGGAGAGGAGAAGGGAAGGGTTTTTAGACTTGAGAGAACGGGTGGGTCGGGTTTTCTTGAATTGAATAAAGACCCGTTTTAATGATCAAGCTGACCGACCCGTTAATTTTAAGGAAAGTAAGAAACGACGTAGCATGAGAAAGATTAGGAAAGGGTGGAAGCGCGCATTACAAAACGACGACGAGTAGTTGTTATCCAGTAGTAGCAGTAGTTGAAAGAGAAAATGGAGGAAGAAGCATAGTGAAAGAAGAAAGCTCCAAAGAATGGAGCTAGTAGCTTTAAACCTCTCTCCAACAATCCCAAGGGAAAAATTCACATTCCTCTCTACAACCATCACAAAAACTCTTCTCTTTCGCAATTATCATTACCAGTTAAGAAGAAGAAGCAATCAGTTTCGATTTGAAGCCACATATGGCGGGAGGAAGAAGAAACCAAACCTTTCTTTCTCAAAGAAACAACAACAGCAGCAACTATTGGTTAGCGAAAGAGAATCTGAAAGGGAGCTGGAATTCGACAGCGAAGTAGATGAAGAAGAGGAGGAGGAGGAGGCAAGCATAAGTGAAGACGAGATGTCGTCTGGTTTGTTATCATTAAGCGTGAAACCGGACAGGAACATGACTGTACTTGACGATTACGATATTGAAGAACTTTGCTTTCGTGATTCCTCCGACTCTAATCATCGTAGCGGTCAGTCACTTAGTCACTGATTTCTGTTCCTTTTTTTTTGGTAAATAAAAATGATGGAAGAATTGTGGTAGTGTAGGGTACGTGGCAGTAGTAGGGAAGCCGAATGTAGGAAAGAGTACACTTTCGAATCAAATGGTAGGGCAAAAGTTGTCGATTGTTACTGATAAACCTCAGACTACTAGACATCGGATTCTTGGTATTTGTTCCGGTCCAGAGTACCAGGTTTCGTGTTATTCTTTTCTTTATTATCGTTGTTTTTTTGGTGTTTGGGTTTTGTACTGTATTATTTGATTGTGTAATGTAGAATAATCGAGGAACAATTGCATAAATTGAGGAACTTCTTGTGATTTATACTCTAAGCATGATGTTATTCTTTGCTTCGTGTTACGTCGTAGAATAATTTCTAGTTTTTGTGGTTTTGGTTGTTTATTTCCTGTGTTTGGCATGCAATATAGAAAGAATTTGCTAGCAGGATAAGTAAAATCACCTTTCACGAGGTAGATGTTGAGTGCAGAGCAATAGTGCACTAATCTTCTACTAAAAAAAATTTCTAGGGTAATCTAATAAATGTAGGGTGTTGTGTGGGTTAATTCCTTTTGCTTATGAACATACCATTATTGTAATGATTAGCTTGCCTTCCTCTGCGTTAGAAATTGTGGGTGCATGGTGGTTGGATATGTAAGAATGTGATTTGTAAAAAAACCTGAACTATGGAAATTTTTTTGAAATGTCTAGGCTAAGCATTAGAATCCTGATTTGTTCAGCTACAAGCTAATCGTATTTTTCTTATAACTTGTAAGAAATATTGCAATGATGCTTTTTTCGCTTTTTAGGAAACTCTTTTAGGCATAAAGAAGTGTAATGATACTTAGAAAACATGCTTGCTTAGCGGCTTAATGCCATTGACCTGACCGAAAGGTTGGCTTGCAGATGATTCTTTACGATACACCAGGTGTTATTGAGAAGAAAATGCACAAGTTGGATTCTATGATGATGAAGAATGTCAGGAGTGCTGCTATCAATGCTGATTGCGTACTAGTTATTGTTGATGCATGTAAAGCACCTGAAAAGGTATGCGAGTTGTTTGTACCATTATTTACAATTCTTTCTTTCTTTCTTTCTATTTTTCTTTTAAATTCCATTTCTTGATTTTAGATTGATGGAGTGCTGGAAGAAGGTGTGGGAAACCTCAAAGGTAAGGTTCCCACTCTACTTGTGTTGAACAAGAAAGACTTGATCAAACCTGGTGAAATTGCAAAGAGACTTGAGGTTTGTTTTTTGAGTTATGATCATTATTACACCAATAATGAGTTGATTTCCCAGGTAATGTAATTATAAGATAAAGGGTAGATAACACTTATCCTTGTGGTGTTACCTCTTCTCCTATCTCTGATATTGCAGTTACCTACATTTAGGTTCTTCTGACATTGATAAAAATATCCTGTCCATTAACGCAAGTCAATCAAAAGTTAATCTATGGTCAGCCAGTGTGCTGACTGGAAATATGAATCAAAAGTTATATCTTACAGCTATTGCGGTGGTTGCTTTCCTGTGACTGTATTGCTTTGTGCTAAATGTAATAGTGGTTATAATATCATATTGTCAGTGTCAAGTTGGAGGTGCTATGGACATGTCTTGCAAAAGAACACCTACTGTCTTAATGAATGAGATCATATGTTTTCGATACTGCTTTAAATACTCTGATCCCTAAACAGATTTCACATTTTTGCAGTGGTATGAGAAATTTACAGATGTTGATGAGGTCATACCTGTGAGTGCCAAATTTGGTCAAGGAGTGGAAGATGTCAAGGAGTGGGCACTTTCAAAACTTCCCATGGGGCCAGCTTATTATCCAAAGGTACGTAGTATTGAACTACATATTTTGTGTTTCCCGTTTTTCTTTGAGTGAACATTTATGCAGTCTCTGAAGGTGGTTAGTTGTCTACTATTGGTATATGACAAACTGTCCCCACCTTAAGTTAATCGCTTGAATTTTAACGACCACCAATGATTAATTAGTCACAAAGGATGAGAAAAAGAACCGTGAACTTAACTTCCATTTTGGCAATGCATTACACCCAAAAGAAGCAAGCAGTAAGCAACTCTCTCAAACTTTCATTATCTACTCACTGGCGCCACTGACATGGTAGGACATTGCCATGCTTATTCCTATTGCTAACGATATAAACAATAGTGCCGTCTGTGTCTGTGGCTGGCTTTGGATCGTTTTCCTTATTTTCCTAGTATGTTTTCGCACATTTAGGCTGTTTTTGCTTTGACATTCTCAGGACATCGTTAGTGAGCACCCAGAAAGATTCTTTGTAGCTGAAATTGTAAGAGAAAAGATATTCATGCAATTCCGCAATGAAGTTCCTTATGCATGTCAGGTATGCAATGGTTTCCTAAGGTTGGCTTATAGCTTCTGCTCTTCAACCCAGCAAAACCAGCTTTAGTTTATGACTAACAACGAAGGATGGTTTTCTCTGTGTACCCTGTAGGTCAATGTGGTCAGCTATAAAACTAGGCCAACAGCAAAAGATTTTATTCAAGTCGAGATTGTTGTGGAGAAGAACACACAGAAGATCATTATCATCGGAAAAGTAAGTGGCCTCTTATTTATGGAATGAATAATGAAATGGCAGACTGTTTTTGAGTGCAAGTATGACTTGGTAGATAAATGAGATCTCAACAAGCTATTGTTTAATTAATTTAAACCCTGATGACTGTTTTAGATTTTACTAGATTAGAGATTCAATCCAAAGATCAAGTGTGTATGCCTATAAACATACACGCGCATAACTTTTTTTATTTTTGGTCTCAATTCAAGTGCCCTTGATTACTGTAGGAAGGGAAGGCTTTGAAATTACTGGCCACAGCCTCTCGGCTGGACATTGAGGATTTCCTGCAGAAGAAAGTGTATCTTGAGGTAAAGAGTTAGTCAGTAACAACTTCATAATTGTCAGTCATATAATTTTCGTGAGGCTTCGTTACTTGGCCACTCTGTTTTGTTGATTGCTTAGTATACGAACCACTGGCAAAAACCAAACAGTACTAATTTCCAGTGGGAGTACATACCTAACGGCTAGCATTCTGTGTTCCAAATATCAAGCAACATAAACGGTCTTATTCCATATTGCATTTTCAAACTTCATTGCTTTAAGATCTTTACCTTATAATTTACCATATGCGTGACTCATTGTTGAAACAGATAGAAGTCAAAGTAAAAGAGAATTGGCGGCAAGACGAAGGGCTTTTGAAATACTATGGATATGGAGGGCAAATCCGCGCATTATAGCATGAAGTCTTTATTCTTTTGTTTGCGTTCAGCCTATACAAAGTGAAGCTGCAATGCCATTGTAAAGTTTGTTTTGTAGAGTCCATCTCAATTTTCCATCTGCTCTGATCTTTACCAGTTAATACCAGCATTGTCAATCCTCTCTGCAGTTAGGGCAGCTATTGTTGTAACTTGTAAGCTGTGTCTAACATTCACTGGAAAATTTTGTCCGTCCTTAGGCATTGCTCACCCCCTGTGTGGGCCAATATCACCAGCCATGTGTTATTGGGCTTAAAAGTGGACTGGGCTCTAGAACATGGGCCTAATGTTTTGGCCTCATGGGCGGCTCCTTAATAGAATTGAAGCTCATGAGTTTAGGCATCTGATCTACAAAAACGGTGTCGGTCTTTGCCCTCTAGGGTTGGAAAAATAATATACTACCAAGTGCTTAAGGACCCACATGTCCTTCTAGATGCTTCTCATGCTGTTCGATGTCGTTTTCAGTGCACGGCCAGACATCCCATGCCACATGTCTTCAGATTGGTAAGATTTCTCAGATCTCTGAAACCCTAATAAATTATAAATTAGTCCCTCTAGTTTGAGAAATAAATTGATTAATCCCCATGTTTCAAAAAATAATTATTTAGTACTCTGGGTTTAAGTTTACTTGTAATTAATATTTTGCTCTTTTCAATTTATTTTGATTTTTTGTCTTAAGAAATAAGAAAAAAATATGAAAAGATTTACAAGAAAAAAGATATTTTATAGAATAAAAATAATATTAAATTAAGTATGATTGATATTGGTTAAAAAATTAAATAATAATTTTTAAAACAAAGGGGAATAATTAACTATTTCTTTAAACCAAAGGGGTTAATTTATAATTTACTCCTGAGAACCCAAATTGATCGGTCGGTCCCCAAGTGATCATTTCACCCTAAAAAAAAAAAAATGATGTCATTTGATAAGACTTGATAAACAATATGGGTGATTGTCATTCCATTATCACTTAGTAGAATCTGATAAGCAATCTAACGTACGTTTGTTGCTTTGCTACCTCTTTATTTTATGCCAAAGCTTTCTTTGGCCGTGGATTTGGTGTGATGGGTTTGTCTCACCATGACGATCTATATGCTTCAGAACAAGCTTGGAATGTGTTTAGATCACATAAAAAAGTTGATATCTTGATAGGATTGGGGGACAAGGAAGGTGGTCAAGACAGTCAAAGGAGAGAACAAATGAATACGATGGAGAGCATTGGCACATGCAAATCACTGTGACATTTATTGAGTACTCTTACATCTTTTGACGATTTTCACCTTTATTAAAAGGCTAACATGGAAGATTAGTGGGACCATGCAAAAGGAGGACAGAGATGCTACAACTCACATGGGTTCAACCATGAAATCCATGAACTAGTGACGCGTGGGTGGGTAAGATTGAGACGTTGGAAGCATCAGATTTCTGAGCAAGGATTAGGTGACCTTTTTGGCTTTTGTTAAATTTTGTGAGGAAGCTGCTAGCTACTAGCTAAAGTTACATTCAATGAGCATGGTGGATGATAGGCCCGTCTGCCATGCTCTTCACGAAAAGCTACATCTCTGAGAAATCATGGCTGATGAAGCATTGAAAGGGTACTGAGTTCATTTTCTTTGCTTGTTGAAATCGATGGGCAAACAGTTTTCTAGTAGATTGGTTGGTGATGGTACCAGATGTGTACGACCATGGACCATGAATATAGAACCAACCCATAATAAATGTAAAGCCATCCTAGTTACAGCAAAAAGCAATGGGTTAAAGAAGCAACCAGCAGAGAAAGATACCACCAAATGCTGTACTGAAAGGAAAGAAAAGCCACAGTAGAATTTTAAATAGTAAGAAATTTGGGACATTTTTTCAAAAGCAATGCATCAAACGGTTGTGATGGACAGGAATCAATGTAGCTTAGCTTTATGTCATTGTTCTTGGTTTGAATTATTATTATTTACTTTCTGCTGCTTTGTTTGGTAGCCAGGAGAGGGAAGCTGAAATAAATAAAAAAATGCAATCTAAAAATTAGATGATATCTGTTTCATGATTTTCTTTCTCATTCTCAATAATGTAACCCCACTTGATTGCCACGAAAATGCCCCTGATTTATGGACGCCGTGAAAATGCGTCTGGTGTATGCAAAAGTAGATGGGAATGGACTAATGGACTAAAAAAATTTTATCTTGGAGGTTTAGAGATAAGAGATTGGACTGGTGGCATTTTCAAGGTTCTGTTTTGCACTGCAGGAAGAAAGATTAAAAAAAAAAAAAAAAGGCTTTGTCTGGTTCTCTATAGACAATTTCTTGTAGCCTTTTGATAAACTTGCAGTTGTAAAAGACAAAACTTCTCTCAGCTTTTAAAGAGCAACTCCCCTGCTCCCCCATTGGCCATTACCACTTAAGATTCCTTCTGTGAGAGAGAGAGAGAGATGAGGCATTTGGCTTTGGCTCTTTTGCTAGTGATTTTGATCCATCAAGGATGTTTTCATTTCCATGTTGAAGCAGGAGATGGTTTCATTAGAACTAGAGGAGTGCATTTCTTGTTGAATGGCAACCCTTACTATGCAAATGGCTTCAATGCTTACTGGTTGATGTATACAGCTTCTGATCCATCTCAGAGATCAAAGGTTTCAGCTGCATTTCGTGAAGCAGCAAGCCATGGTCTCACTGTGGCCAGAACTTGGGCTTTTAGTGATGGTGGTTCCAGTGCTTTACAGTACTCCCCTGGATCCTACAATGAGCAGATGTTTAAGGTCTCATGAATGTTCATTCTTTCTAGCTTTGCTTGTCCTTTAAATCTTCAAAAGTCACAATCTTGCTTGTCTGGATTTTTTTATCTGTTTTTCTTTCCACAATTTGTAAAGGGGCTGGATTTTGTTATAGCTGAGGCTAGAAGATATGGGATCAAACTTATTCTGAGCTTCGCTAACAACTATGATAGCTTTGGAGGGAAGAAACAGTATGTGGACTGGGCTAGAAGTCGAGGGCAGTATCTGACATCTGATGATGATTTCTTTAGACACCCTGTTGTTAAGGGTTACTACAAGAACCATATAAAGGTAAGAGTCTTTTCTCCCTATACTAATTCGTCCTGCGTTTTGGTCATGATTTCTCTCTGATACGTTCTTATATATCATCCCAGATTGAATAGTGTTTCTATGAAAGAATTTACTTGCTTACAAAGAAAGAACCATATGAGAAATGATGAATATGAAGACAATTGTAACTTATCTATGACCTTTTGTTTTGCAGACAGTTCTTTATAGACATAACAGCTTTACTGGAATTCATTACAAAGATGATCCAACAATCATGGCATGGGAGCTTATGAATGAGCCTAGATGCACGTCAGATCCTTCTGGAAGGACTATTCAGGTTTACTGAACTTCCTCCTCTTGTTTTCTTTTCTTAATTTCTTTGCTGTCCTAAGATCTAACCTTACCTTGTAGTTGTACCCTTCATTATTTTAGTAATTTGACTAAATAAAGATCATTCTAGCTTTGGTTTACTTTCAACTGAGCTTGATGGATCCTTGACATCCCCCACCAATCCTTTTGAAGTTCAATTAATTGCATTTGAATTTGCCCTAAATTTTCTTGGTCCAGCTTAATTAGAAATCGGTTGGCAAATAAAGGTTTAGGTATCCCCAGTAAATGACCTTTTACTTGAACTCTAGAGTTGGCAAAGCATTGATTTCTTCTGCTAGTTACTTCTTTCAACCACTCTTCTTCGCTATTTTCATTTAGATTGGTATGCAATGGCTCAAAGTCCATGTTAACTTTTGGCCTTGGTGCTTGTTTGATTTAGGCTTGGATAACAGAAATGGCTTCCTTTGTGAAGTCAATTGACAGAAATCACTTGCTGGAAGCTGGTTTAGAAGGATTTTATGGACCTTCAACTCCACAGAGGAACAGTCTCAATCCTAGTTTGAAGATAGGAACAGACTTCATCGCAAATAACCGCATCCCCGGAATCGATTTTGCAACAGTCCATGCATATCCTGACCAATGGTAACTATAATGCAATAAAAAACTTCAGCATTTACTATACTAAAGAGAACCAATTAGCATAAGAACAGAGATCTGTGTCGTTCTATATTGAGTCCTTGCGGAACCCATACTGTTAAAAATGAAGAAGCCACTACTAAATGGCTATATGCCAAAGGTTGATCAGCTTTTGTAGGAATCAGCAGAAATTTAGTGTTTATTACATGTTTTTGATGCTTGAACAGGTTATCCAGCTCTAACGATCAATACCAACTTTCTTTCCTGAACAACTGGCTCGACAGCCACATACAAGATGCACAAAACATTCTTCGAAAACCAATACTTATTGCAGAATTCGGAAAATCTCGGAAAGACACTGGTTTCAGCACATACCAGAGAGACCTACTGTTCAACACTGTGTACTACAAGATATACTCATCAGCTAAAAGTGGAGGTGCAGCCGCTGGCGGCCTGTTCTGGCAACTTTTAACTGAAGGAATGGACAGTTTTGGTGACGGTTATGAGATAATCTTGGGGCAACCTTCCTCAACTGCAAATGTTATAGCTCAACAGGCACACAAGCTCTATCAAATTCGAAAGATTTTCGCAAGGATGAGAAACGTGGAGAGGTGGAAGAGGGCAAGAGCTGCTAGGGCTAGGAGGGGTTGGCAGGGTGGAAATGGAGGCAAGCGTATTGGAAACTGAAAGGATCGTATCTTTCATGTGTGAAAGCTAAAGTGGGCTGAAAAAGTTATGTGCCAAAGTGGAAGCTGTTGTGTTTTGAGTGTAAAGAGTGAAACTTTCTCTTAGAGATGAATGTTGTTCGTCCGGGAGAGTAGCCAAGTCAGAATATATTATATGAGAGCCAAGTTCTCAGAATCTCTACTTCGAGTTTTAGGGCTTGGTTTTTTATGAAAGTTAATTTAACTGAGTTGCCAAAACCAGATCTGATCAGGTCCAGTTACATCGTTGATTGCTTGTCTTTTCTATGCCATTGCGTTGGGGTGTTTTCTCACAAACTTCCCTCTCAAGAAAGGAAAAGGTCGAAATTTGGGCCCAAAACCAAAAGTCGAAATATAACCTTGGAAGTTATATTTTTTAAAACTTGTTTGGGCTTTAATATGAGCCCTAATCTACAGACTTAATAACTCTGTCAAAAAATGAGACGTTAACAAGATAGTTAATCTCTTGTAGAAGAAAAAACTTGTAATTCACTGAGAGTGGTATTTTGTATCAAAATTTCATGAGTTTAAATCTTAATAGAATAATTTTGTTAAGAATATTGGACAAAAGTTCATGAGTTAAGAATATTAGACGTGAGTTTAAAAAAAAAATAATCCTTCAGTAAAAAAAATAATAGTATAGTTTATTTTAATTTTTTTACCTAACTAGGGTATAAAATAAATCTTATTTTACAGAACGTCAGAACAAATCAGTCTTTTCATCTAAAGTCTGGCTAATCATATAATGTCATGTAATTAATAACGACGGATAAAAGAATTGATTTGTTTTAATGTTCGGTACAAGATTTATTGCATACCAAACGTACCATAGTGGGTTAAAATAGGCAAAATCAAATAATATAAAAATACTGGTTGAATTTCACCCATTAATCTCTTCCTTTCTCCTCTCCTCTTCTCTTATCATGGTAGGCTTTTCTTTTTGCCTTTTCTTTAAATTTTTGTCTAGTCCAATCTTAGTGTTGTTCTTGACAAAGCTAATTGTTATGGTACGTCTGTGAGATCTCAACAAAATTTCCGTTGTAAAGAAATCAAATTATTTGTAATTTATAATTCAATTAGAGCATTAGAAAATTAAGAGGGAAGAGACCACTTATTATGGTGTGCAGAGATCTCTTTCTTTGCCATTTTCAAGTTCAACTAGACAATGAAAAAAAATTTCAAGTTTTTTTTTTAAAAAAAAGAGATTTTAATTTCACAATCACTAGAGGTGGCGCATTTTTTTCTTATGATAATGGAAACATTACAATATTGCTTCTCTTATACCAAAACGGACCATACGGCAAAATCAAAATGGTATCATAGCAACAGTTTTAGGTATAGCACTAATTCACCGATCGTATGCCACTATTAAAGAATCCTTCTCTGAGGGAACAATTACAAATTCTTGAAAAACAACCATTGATAACCCCAGAAAATATATAAGCACAATCTGATCCATAAGTAATCTGATTTCACATTCGATGTTTCTATGTTTTGTTTGGTCAACCGCTACGATATCGACAAGCTATAAGGCACTAACAAGAAATACCCCTTCTATTACAAGTTTTGTATGCATGATGCAGAAAATGAAGATCAAAACTCTCACCCCGGGCTAGTAACATTGATGCATAAATTAGTATCCAAAACTAATTCCTAGGTTGAGACCCTTCTGGCAGGGATCATCATGTATCGATTGACATATCGATTCAGAGACTTCAGAGGGGTACAAGAACTTGAATACAGAACCAACAAAAAATCAACAAGGCTACCGGTCATCCCAGGATAGAAATCTCTTTCTAACCTGTTGAAAATGTTAGGACGGGCTTGTATGGTGTCCATGCATGTATCTGCACAGCTTTAAATGCACAAAAAGGCTATAAATATGATTCCAGATGATCATTGACCCAAACAAAAATTAATCACCTCCCAGATTACCAGTAAAGCAGTAACGAAGTATTATGATGGTAACTATGCAATCTCAGCAGGCAGGAAAATTGCTAGAGACAAAAGCAAGAGGTTGATATTCACAAGATGGCATATACAACCTTTTATTCTTCTCTTCCATGACATGACATTGGAGTCTACTGATCAATCAGAAGCTCATAAGTCAGTGGTATCATCATGCTCTGGAGCATGAGAATCACTGGCAGATGATGATCCTCTCACTGCTGGCATGTATGACCATGCCAAGGCTGTCGTGCCAAGAGCAATTGCAGCAGCAATTGAGCCCCAAACCCACTTCTGCCTCCTTTTCCTTATCTGCCGATTACGCCGTGCCGTTTCTACAAAATCAGAAGCCAAAAATTAGAAGACCAAGATTTTAGCAATACAAACAATGAGGCTCAAAATTAAAGCTGGTAAACAGAACCTTAACTAAAGCTATGAAATGAGCAATGCTTACAACAGAAAATCTCAACGATTTTCTTAATTCACACTAGTTCAAAAGTTCCTCAGTAGGCCCATTTAAAAGGTAAGTAAGAACTGATATTTTCAAACCAAACCAAACTTTCCATTCAAATTGGACTACCAAATACCAGCCAGGCCACTGGATCCGATCATCAATACATACAGATGACGGTATAAACACTAGCCAGCAATGCTAGGGTAGAACTGGTTAATTTTAACAGCACTGCTTTAAGGTTTCTAGTCAACTAGATCAACAAAATGTGCAGGAGATTTCATCAATCCCTAAACCAGCTATAAGCCCAGTTACCACTATGCCAGTACCATCGTTCTAGTAACACCTGGTTTCCTAACTGTCTTTTTTTGGGTCCAATTTGAATGGTTTTATAACATCGGCATGAAGCAACATACACTAAAGATTTAGAAATGCAGCTATAGTTTTTCTTAATTCCACAAGCAACACCAGTAAAAAGTAAACAAGCAAGCTGACTAGCAAAACCTTGGAACATTTAACAAAAATCTTACCTATAACTTCTTGGTTCCTCTGAGACATTTCTTGATTCACAGCCTCGTAATAACGAAGTCGGTCCCACAATCGAGCAATTTCAAAGTTCTTTGCTTCAACCTGAGCTTCCATCTCTATCTCTGCCTCAGCTTTTCCAATTCCCCTTCCTATAGATTCTGATACAAACCGAGCAAAATAGATCTGCTGGCAAATCTCCTCTGCAGGATCCGCATCTGATGGCTGATCACTCTCGGGTACATCAACAGGACAAGCAGGGAGGGAAAGTCCTACCAGAGCTAATTCTTGCCTGATCCTCTGCCACTGCTTTTGCATATTAATAAAAGCCTCCTCTAATTGCTTCCGCTTTTCTATCTCCATCAACAAACTCAATCTCATTTCACGCAATTCAGCTCCATTGTGATGAGGAGAAGGAGAAGGCTGTGGCCCACTCTCAGAGGATAGTTCTAGCAATAGTGATAAAACAAATGTAAGCTTCTGCATTCTGTTATGGCTATATTACTTAACAAATTTGTTAGACTACCTACTTTTGCAAAAAAAGAGGACAGATATAATTCTTAGAAATGATAATGCTTGATTCCTCATTTTAAACAGCTGCTTATTTTGTATCCATATGGGTAAACAAGGAAAGGATGAGATGAACATCATAAAGAATCAAAATCAGTATTCTTCAATAAAAATATGCCAGATAAATACAAGATGACAAACAATATAATGTATGCAAATAACAAAAGAAAGGACACAACACAACTTATAGAAAATGTAACAAGAGCAATTACTCCCTCAACACTATGGCTGCAACATGCTATGAAATACTTCTTAAATATGGCATATTAAAATCGAGATGCCAAACAATATGATGCAAGTAAATAACAAATGACGGAGAAGCAACTATAACTTTTCCAACAACCACATGATCTACTAAAGTAAAACAAACAGAAAGAATAATGCAAGACATGAGCACCCAAGTACCTTCCCAAGCATCATAAAACTCTCCCACTGGCGTAGCTGCAGTAAGCTTCATAGAACTCTCAACTGCAGTAGTGTCCTCGACATCAGTGTTACTAGAATAGCTCATTGAGTCTTGAGGATCAAAGAAATCATCATAGTCTCCATCTCTTTCCACGTTCTGCTCAATTGGCTTCAAGACATCCTTTTCCATTGCCAACTCCTTCCTCGTATTATTAGTCCCAAGTTGCACGCTACTGCTCCCTATTTCACCATCATGGCTTCCATTAACATGACCTGCTTCAATAGGTCGATAATGGACACCATTCACAACATCCTCTTTACTAGGACTCCCATTTACACCATCCAGAAGGTCACCTTCAATAGAATTAGGGATGAAAAAAGTAACTGAATGCCCATTACTTGAATCAACAACCTCATTTTTGTCATTATTCACATTCCCATTCACCTCATCTTTCTCCAATTCTTTCTTCCTGGAAGCTACATCATCCTCCGAAAAGCTCTTCAAAAGGCGTGGCCCACGTCGCTTGTGATTAATAATATAAGGCGAAGGGGGAATGAAGATGGCGAATCAGGAAGTGGGGTCGACTCAGGAGTCGCATACAGCGCAGGTGATATTTGAGGACGATTACATCTCCTGTCTATCAACGCTGTACTATTCCTCCTCTCCAGGTTTGAATTAGGTAAAGGTGGCTTTGATTCTGATGAAGGGGGCTTCGGTTTTGGAACTGCGTAGTTGTTGTTCGAACTAGGAACTGATTTGTCGACAGATTTTGATGCTCCAGGTTCTAACAACCTATCCAAAGCTATGGCGGTAAAAGATGGCATCCTTCTACAATACCAAAACAATAGCCATCAAATCAAAAATTGAAGCCAGTAGCTCGAAAATTCAGAGGTTAAAAAAGTTAGTTAACAACGAATTAACCCCAAATAAAATCCATAACCTAGAACCTAAATAGCTAACATGATTTGTCAAGTTAATCTTCTAATTAAGGGAAAATCATTGGAAAGTAAACCATTTTAGCTTAGATTGATTATAAAATCACAAAAATAAACTAAAAATTCAACAAAACTCAAGCTTTTGACACAATTATTTAGCTAAACAACACAATTAAAGCAAGAAAAACCCAAAAAATAAAATAATAATAATAAAAAAAGAATCTAATGCTCCATTTCTAGCTTAGATAAATTTCTAAATTACAAAAAAAAAAAAAAAAAAAAATTCCACCAACTTTTTAGCTAAGCTACACAATCAAAGCAAATGAAAACTGATTTCGATTTCTAATAGAATGCCAAAACGACACTGCTTTTCCCGGTGAAACGGTTGGCACAAATCTCAAGATCAATATTTGCAATAATCCAACGGGAGAGAGAAAAAAATACAGCTGAGAAAAATTACCTTGATAACGAAGGAGCTCAATGAGAGGAGAGAAAAAAAAAAACAATCAGCTGATGATTTTAACAGAGAAAAGAAGGATCAGAGAAGAGTCGATGAATAGAAATAATAGAGAGAACACGAAACGACATTATATTGGAAGGAGTGATGATATATGGTGATGTCGTATCGTAGATTGAAATTCACGACTCTTCACTACCCGTGAAGAAGGGGAAAAGAAAAGGGAGAGAAAGAAGCCGCTTGTTGCCCAAGTTTGTGGGGTTTTTTTCCTCTTTTCTCTTTGTTATCGCGAAGAGACTGACCGCCTCTCTCGTCTCCTTTCTTTTGTCTACGCTAATATTTGAATTGGCCCTTTGCGTTAGAAAATATCTCCATCAATCTCCCTAGGGCACACGTATCTGCCCACGTTTTCTTTCAATTTTGCAAAGTTCCAATTGATCCCCAAATTATAACCAGATTTTCTATTTAGTTGTTTGAAACAATTTCTCTTAACCGCATCCTACTTCGGATTAGGTTGGATTTAAATAATCTGGCTAATTTAATAGCGTGGGTATATAAGTCCAAACGACAATCGATAAAGTTTATAGTTTGATAATTATGAATTGAAGATTCAAAAAACCCATCCACATCCTTACTCTATTTAATTGGATGGAAGTCAGATTTTATGAATAAATTAAGATTGATGTCTACTAAATCAAACTATGTTGCTATCTATATTAAATTATTACTAATTTTTTTATCGATTTTTTTCTGTTAACGTTTTTAATGCATAATGTGTAATTTAGGATTACATTTTGGATGGAATTCATTATAGAAATGCATGGAAGAATTAGATTGAGAATTTTGCGAGGGACTTAATGGGGGTGAAAAAATATTGAAGACTCGATTGAAATTTATTGTATAGTTGGAGGACTAATTTAAAGTAAGCGTTTTTTTTTTTGGTTGACTTGCTGTTGTTAGAATAAAAACTCAAAGTCCCTTTTTTTTGGGGTACATACTGCTGGTTGCTGCGGTCAAATAAGGGTGTTTGACCACGACAACGGGACAATATTTGTTGTGTTGGGATAAAAGTTGGATCAGTTGGTCATGACTTCTGCGAGTTTGGAGATGTCGTATTGAGGTTCTGGTTCGAGAAGTTGATGTCGTTTTGGGATCATGGGTTGCTTGAATACCGCTTTGTTTGCTTTACAATAGAGCCACACCAATTATTTTATCATTTTCTATTTTTTATGCAGTAAATATCAAAATTATCTATATACTAAAGTTGCCTTCAAAAAATTAATTATAGCTGTGTCTTTGTAGTTTATCAAATAAATTAATTAATTTTTTATAATATAAAAATTAATTATATAATTCTTTGACCGATGTTTTTTATGCTTGATTTAGTAGTATTTTGTTTCAAAAAATATCTTCTTCTCATCAACCTTTTCACCTTTATATTTTCTTTTTATATTTTTCAATACCAAAATAAAAATGAAAAATAAATTAAAAAAGAACATGAAATAAATGAAAAATATAAAGTTATAAGTGAATTAAAAAAGATAAAAATTAAATATATAGTTTTGAAAGGATGATGACTAATTAATTAATTTAACTAAACTACAAAAATTAAATTATAATTAACTCTGAATATTTTGGAATCTTAATCCTATCAAGTTTAATTCATATTTTATCTTTAATTATATGACAAATAATCAGTAGCTCTTCTTCTCTCCTAAAATTAAAAGTATGTTAATTTTAGAAAGTATGAATAAAGGGTTTCTCTAATTGATTTCACGAGATACCAAAAACACAAAAGAGAAAAAAAACGTCACACGTTTCACGAGTAAATTATAAATTAGTCTCTCTGGTTTCAAAAAAATAAATAAATAATTTTTTTATTTTAAAATTTTTTATTTAATTATTTAATCGGTATTGAATGTGTTTAATTTAATATTATTTTTATTTTATAAAATCTCTTATTTTTCTTTGATTTTTTTCATATTTTTTTTCTATTTCTTGAAACAAAAAATTAAAATAAATTAAAAATAAATAAATTAATTAAATTATAAATAGAGCTTGAAACATGAGAACTCAACGATTATTTTTTAAAACAAAAGAGATTAACTAATTTGTTTTCCAACCAAGAGGGACTAATTTATAATTTACTCAACATTTCACGTGTTCAACAAACAAAAGGTGCTTTAAGCAGAAAAAGATTCAGATTCACCTAGAATCTGAAGTCAAAGTTCACAATTAAGTAAAGTTGACACGTGCCATTATAGAATATCGTAAGCAACCAAGGTTTAAAAAAAGCAACCTAACATCTCATTAATAATAATAATTAATTAATTAATTAACTAACAGAAGAAACAAAAGGCATGGATGTATCCAGGAAATTCCGTGGAGGGGTCGGGAAGTTTTGTCTTGTTTCTTTTTCCACAAGTAAAAATGTACCAGATCAAAATTAATGCTTTTTAAATGTGATTAAAGATAATTTCTTAATATAAATATTTTAAGAATAAATTTTTATAAATACTAATCATAAAAATTAAACTTTAAACATAACTTACAAGTTAATGTTTGTTTACTAACGAATTATCAATTTGTGGTTCGAGAAGTATTTCTTATAACGCTATATAATCTTATTTTATTTATGTTCATATATTTGTGATTAACAAAAATTTCTAGCTTTTTTTAAAAAAATTAGTTTGTATAAAGTATTTTTTTTTGCTGACTTATTTGGTAGGTTAGCTTATATATTAATTGAAATTTTTTCCTTTCGAATAATTTTAAAGACATACCCTAATTATATCAATAGATTGCATCTAAGAAAATGAAATTTTGATATGACAAATTTTATTTTATTACAAGAATAATTAACAATATTTATTTTATAAAAAAAAATCATGTTATTGTTATAAAAAAAATAAGAAAAATAATATGAGAGTTAGATTAATAGGAACCATGAATGATTCTCCCAGCCACATTAGTCCCGTGATTCAACTACTCATATTTTCTTACTATTTATTCCTTTTTTTTTAATTATTTCTTTTGAAATAGAAATTAGATTCGGCTGTCCTCTCATGTAGTTTGGGTTTGCTTTAATTTTGGGCCAGAGCTTTTATCAAATCACGTATTGATGGTTGCTTCCTGTCAACATCTCCAAACACAGAGGAATGGCAGCAGAAGATAAGGACAGGAAATGGCCATGGCCTCACCAACATTTTTTTTTTTTTTTAATTTTTTGGGCCACAGCTTATATCAAATCACGTATTCAATGCCTCTTTCCTTTGCTTTTTGATGAATTTTCCTTTGTTCAGTGTTCTTGAAGATTGTAAGGTGCTAGCCACCCATCCACCCATCACCAACCAATTTTTTTTTTTTTTGGTAATTCAGGGTGTTCGGATCAGCTTTACGCGCACCGTGACTAATCCCTAGAGTCCACTCAACACCCTGCAAGCCCAAAGACATGTAAGGCACCACAAGAGTGACAAGCGTGCGCAAAGAGAGTCGAACTCGGATGGTCCTCATGGGGTAAGACCTTGTTCCGCTAGGCTATGACCTCAAGCGCCGTCGCCAACCAATCTTGATTATTGTCTTTGTTGTCTTCTGGAATTAGACAAGCTTCTATCAGCAGGAGATTACAACAAAAATGCACTAGCCATAGGTTTATGTGACCATCAAAATATGCAAACTATGTTTTGTGAGTCTTGTTCTACCAATTAGATGATTCCAGTTCCATTGTTGAAGATAAGAAATTGAGTGAACTATTATTTAATCTCTTTGCTTTTAGTGAAATAGCTAGGTAATGGTTTTAGTTTACAAAGTCCGATATTGAATTTCTGTGTTTTTTTTTCTTTTGTAATTTACTCCTGATAATTTTTCGTATCAATCTTAATTATGTTCTTTAGATATCCTTCATTTCTAATCAGTTTTTCCAATATCGCCACCTAAAAAAAAATGTTCTTCAAAAAATAACAATCTATTGCGGTCAAAGACCTAACGTATAATTTTCAACATTAAAAAAAACAATTTAATGACATTTTTTGTTTCTGAATTATTGAGGCCGTGGCATATTGAGACTTATAAGATCAATTTGGTCAATTTTGACCTTAAACTATGGTGCTTTGGACAAATATCGTCCTTCCGTTTAATTTAACCGTTATCATTGATCCAAAACCTCTTTAAATAAAAAATTAATTTATGATATTTTAAGTTAAATTTTTTAACATTATTCTAATAAAAATCCAATCTACTTTTCAAAATAATTTTTTTAAAAAATAATTAAGGTTAGGAAGCATTTTTTAATTTTTCTTAAATAGTAAATATTAACAAATTTTTTTAAAAATAAAAAATAATTTGGAATGATTCTAAATTTTATCGAGAAGCCTAAAAAAATCATATAATTTATTTATTTAGTCTTAGTATGATTCTCAAAATATTTACATGA